CCTCTACCCATTCCAGAATGCAAACCTCATGCATGATTTCCAAAGTAAATGTTGAAAGAAGAAAACATTTGAACCTTGGGCTATCTTTAGTAAAGGCAGAAAGGAGGAGTAGAGAGTGCAAGAGCTCTGGGGAGAAACTTACGTTCAAATCTCAGCTGCCAATCGACTAGCTGCAGGACAGTGGGCAGTTTGCCTATCCTTTCTAAACCATAGCTTTCTCGTCTGTGAAATGGGGATAACTATGCCTATTCACAGGTTTATTGTACATCAAGTGCTGGAGCCCTCATGTGTGGTAGTGATGTTCCTGTCACTGGGTGTTACTGGTGGTGCAGGTGGCATTGTTGTTAGTGCTGTTACTGTTTTTAATAGCCACAAAAGGAGAAGGGGCATATTCTCAAGGCCTAAAAGCCATCATCATAATAGCTCGACTAGAAAAACTGGGATTGGCACAAATTTCCTATGAACACAGCATCCTGGGAGAAGAAATAATTCTAAGTAAAATCCAAACAAGTAACCATCCCAAAGATGAATGAAACAAACCTGGGTAGACTCTGGAGTCAAAATGGCAGCTACTTCATATACTTCATAGTGTCTCTGACCAGATCCCAGGATTCAGACAGATTCACAATGGGTACTGGGTTGTGTTCAGTAGTCCAGGTTTGCCTTTGAACTCTCTCCCCTTCCTAGTTATGGGAAACTTGAGAAAGTTGCCAAGTAGTAGCTCTTGACTTCACCATGTTCCAGTACATCCCTTTCATATTTTGTGGAACTCAACAGTCTAAATTTGACCAAATACCAAGATACCTTTTAAGTAAAACCTAATCCAACTGCAGGTCAGCTCCAGGCAGAACAACAGTTGTCTGCCAGGCACACAGACAAAGTGAAGTCTTATTTTTATAACAAAAAATTAACCTCTGCATTAAAGTTGCACCTGAATGCAAAGTCATTTTCTTTGACCAATAGTACCAGTTAAACTTCAGCAACTTAGTGGATCTCAGTCTTGCTTTGTTTACTACTTAGTTCCAATAAGAAAAAAAGCCTGGTGGGGACAAATGTCACTCAAGAGGAACAACTCAAGGCACACAAGTGCCCTCGCTGGCCATGGGACTGGAAAGCTACATACCCACAATCCTCACTTCAATTACCACAGAAACACTGCTCCATAGTCAAATAATGCCTCTGGCTTCTTAATCCACTTTAGTTAACGAATTAACCAAATCAAGTACATTTTCTGGAACTTTTCTAAAACCCTTACGTCACTCATATATATGTCTTTGATAAATTCTGCTGAAAATCTGATAGTTTCTGCTATACTAGCAAAACGTTTGTTTTTCCCAAAGAATATCATTTAATGTAGTAAGCAAATGAGATCTAGAGAACTCCATGTAGTTTCTTTTCCACCTCAGCTGCTATTTGGAGTGAAGTTTTATGTGTCATCTCAGTAATTATCATTACTCTAAGGGTTGAGTTTTTATATTTTTCAAAAAACACAACATTCTCCCTGACCTTCCATTTGTGATTTTTGGAGTTGCTGTAGCCATTTGCTCAGACAGGCAGGAAGAGGTTGCCTGAAAATAGAGCTCACAGGAAGGAAGACAAGATAAGAGATGGAATGAGAGAAAATTGGATATGCTAATATCTTTTGAGCCTCTGAATCAAGCTGTGCCTGAAGCAATATCCCTGTTTTTTTTTTTTTTCAGTAAATTTTTTTTCCAATAAAGTTCCTTTTGGCTTTAGCCACTTTGAAATAGATTTTCCTTCACTTAAAAGTTTTAGCTAACAATGAAAAAGGGGTTTGAGATTATTTGACAAGAACTACCATTACTGTCATTCATTTTCTTAAAAAAAAATGACTTTATGAATGACCCAAGAAAGTAAAACTTTTGGACATCATGTTTATGTCACATCAAATTTATAATAAAAATAAATTACACATTCTTTCAAAGGAATTAGCATTAAAGAAAGGAAAAAGAGAAAACAAGCCTTTTGACTGCCATTCTTATTGACAGTTATCTACAAAAGCAGAAAAGAGGAGCTTAGTAAAGAATCTTTAGACACAAGAAGAGAAGGAAGAGCACTGCAATACCTACAAGAAACTAATTTTCCAAGAAACACACACAATGTTCTAAGTACAAACTTGGAACATACCTGCCAGACCAAATCAGGATCAAAATTAAAACTTGAAGGTTTCTGCAAGAAGATAAATCACAAACAACTTTATGCACTTTGCTTCCTTTCATTTTCATTTTCATTCAGGTGACTTCAGCCCCCAGGCTCAATTGGCTGGCAGTGGATGTGATGTCTTCAAGCAAACTGCACCCAGTTTGGTGCAGGCAGATGATATTCCCCAAGGTTCATCCCAGAGAAACATATTTTCACAATTCCAAAGTCCAGAGCAGGTACACAAAGATCTAAAACTACCAGACTGTGGTTCTAAATAATGCTTGAAGTTAGGCAGGATTTCAGACTTTCACAACAAATATCTTTTGCAAGTTTATGCAAAGTGTATATGTGGGGACAATGGGGGATTCTGAAGCTCACCCTTAGTACCTCTAGGAAGCAAGAAACAAATAGGGATAATTGCTCAGCCTAATTCATCTAATCTCCCTAAAACTACAGGGTCAATTTAGGCCAAGAAATCTCTTCTTAATTTTAAATTATATCAAGGCACTAGATGAGACTGATGTTTAACCAGGACTAAAATACAACAGGGCGTCAAGTTCTACTTACTAGGCATAAGGGTCAGTTGGATTTGATAGTCAACTCTGAAGCCTGTACAATATGAACTTCTAATATCCCCACCAATTTCAGAGGGGTGTAATGTACAAAATCAGATGAGATCACAGCCCTCAGCATGAGCTATCCACATGGATGAGATGACCCTCCACCAGCTGCCTCCATAACTCAATTTAGGTATGTTGAGGATAGATGCTAATGGGACCCAGACTTCTTTGTTGACAAGAGAGAAGGCAGTGCTTTTGTAAGTTAACAGGCATCCAAAAAGATAACAGAAAAACTTTAGGATCAGTTTCCTGAAAAATATATTGATCTTCATTTGTCCTACAAATACAAATGCCTTATGCCTATAAATCAGGAACATAGGCATCCATAAAAGGAGAACTCTAGGCTCAATTTACTGATAATATATGGATATAAATTTGCCCTAGAATTCAAGTTTCTCTGTCTTCTCATGTAGATGGCCTAAGTAAGTTTTTTATTTATAATTTTTTGCTTTATAACAAAATATAATGCTAGAAACAGCAAACTAGGATCAAACAGATTTTCTACTTTCAAAAGTCAGAAGAAAGGTACCAATTGTCTTTGTATGGAGACATTTACCAGGAGACTACTCACTATATTAGAAGAGATGTTTCTCCCGTTTTTTCCAAAGGCCTTGGGAACGCACTCTTTTTTTTTCTTAAACTATAATTTGGAAATAGATTGTATATATATCCTCTTCTCCATTACTATTTGCTCTGACTGAGAAGGTGGGTGTGGAGGTGGGTGGAAGGGGGACTGAGTCACCCTTTGCAAAAAAAAAAAAAATCAATTCTTTTGTCCTTTTGTCTTTCGTTTTTCCTTTTTTTCCCCTTTTTTTAAGCCTTGACCAAGTATCAGGTTTGGTTCCAATGTGAGGTGAGGATTAAACTCTTAATTCTGAACCACTGGCCTACTGTCCCCCAGTGTAGAATGTTCAGTTTCTTTTCAAAATGTTTAAATCACATAAGTTTAAAACAACTGATGAGCCAGAATTAATAATTATTTTTTAATCCTATTGACAGTTGGTCCCTTCAATGATATTTTTCAAAGCTATGTGCTACAAATACATTATGAGTGCCTTGACTCATGTAACCTCATTTGAGTGACACATGGTTTTAAAGCAAATGACCTATATTATTTTCACAAAAATCCACTTGGATGAAGAAATTGTCATTGAATAGAAAAAAACAATCCCTACTAAGAATTGTACATGACAAAAATTCAAGAGCTCATACTAGTTTCTTTTCCCTCAAAACTTGGGAATTTGGGGGAGATAATTCAAAATCATATGCTGCAAGAAGGAGAGAAGACTCATTATTCTATCAGCAAGCTTTAGAATTCTCTTGCAGGCCCATGGTGACCGGCAAACTCCCTGAGTGTTAAATTTGAGTGTGGAATTTTCAGATTGCAAACATCTTGGATATAAATTTTTTGTTTCTTAATGGAACACATTAAATTAAGAATTATTTATTATTGAGATAAATACGTTACTATTTGCATCCCTCTGGCAAAAATTGTAAATAAAAAGATTTCAAATTTCTAGATACTAGCAAAGAAATTGAGTTTCATTTAGATCAGTTTCTTAATCATAGATCGTGGCTTGGCCATGCTCATTTACTTGATGATTCCTTAAATGTCCTGAATCCTCTCAGAGTGATTTATCTATTCCTTTAAATAGTGTATCTCTATGCCTGCACAGCTAAATAGTATACTTTGCAAGTATTTAGTAAAGTGCTATCACTTCCAGCCTTGGTTAGGAGAAAATACTGGGATCCTAAGACAGTATTATTTTTTCAAAAGTAAATTTTGCTGATAGCTGAATTTTAATTATTTAACAATACCACTCCATGTAAAATAACTTCCCTTTGCCAACTCTTAATTTTTCAAAGGTGTCTTTTCATTATGATGTGAACAGGAGGAAAAGAATTACTATAGCTTAAAAATTTTACTTTTAAAACACACACAAAACCTCCCTAGGATTAGACATGCTCTGCAAAGGAACCCAGCTTTTTTCAACCAATGGATACTTGAGCCCTTTATACTTTTGCCTAGAAAAGGCATCCTAGTTAAAGGGCCAATAAATTAAATGTGCCCAGGAAGGAAAATAATCCAGAGCTAAAGCACCCAGCAGGGTGCCTAGAGAAAAACACAAGGCTCATTTCACGTTTATATTAGGCACCATCAAGTTAGAACAAACTCCCAAGGCATAACTGTTTCTGACAAAAGTGCACAGTTCCTACCTTCATTTCAATGACAGTCTGGAGAGCCTTCGTCTTGGCTGGCTCTGGCTGAAGTTGGCTTCTTCGGTGCAATTCCTGGGGAGGAACACGATAGAAATAAGCCTGACGGTTCATCCTTCCGTTATACCATGACCTTTACACAGGTACTACACAGCCTGCTGGGTCCAGGTTCCCTGTGCACAGACATAAACAAGCCACAGGTGCCTCTTCCCCCACACTCTTTAGCATCCCTCCTCCCTGGAGCCTGCGTTCCGGTGAAAAGCTCCTGGCACATGCGCTATTTCTGAAACTTCCATCAATAATTAATGTCAACTGTGACAAAGCCAGCAAGTAATCATAGTCCAAATACTGTTCAACACTGGGGCTGATGCCCAGCAATCAAATCATAATTTACTAAATTACATTGCTCTGTGTTCCCAATAAAACACAGCAAGGAAACGGAGGAAAGAAAATGACTAACGTGGTTGCAAATCCGCCGCACGCATGGCATTTTGCTACCGAGGTAGGTTTGAAATGAGCAATTTAAAACCATTTCAGTACAAATGTGTCACTTTTGAGAATGATCTGATGAAACCCTGTGAATCTCTTGCTTCCGAATTTACATTCAGTCCTTGTTTAAAATCACATCTGTGAGTGATGTATTTATGTATCATGATGCCAAGAAATTAAAATTGGCATTAGTATCAACAGTGTTAGAGGGGAGAAAAAAATTGTTAAATCCAGATGTGGACCCAAAAACTACTGGAGGAACACTTCTTTAGGTAAAAAGCAAACAGCATAATTAAAATTTTTATCTTGAAGGGTCACTTTTTACATGCTTCTCCTCAAAGTAACAGTTCTGTTGAGACTTTGAAAAGTTTTTTTAGCAGAATAGAAGAGACAAGAACGATGGGTGTTCAAATCACACTTTGATTTTCTTAACTATCAATAGGAGAGTGGGCAATGGCAGGAGTAAATAAAAGTGCTCACACATACCCATGCTGCTGATTCAGGTCACCTATGGAATAATTCTATCAATACTCTGCTTCCACAAAAATCAGTTTAGAGTCAACAAGGGGTAGTTCTAGACTTTCAGAACCACTGGATCACAAACATTTACTTTTTTGGAGAGGAGGGATGGAGTTTCACTCTTATTGCCCAGGCTGGAGTGCAATGGCATGATCTCGGCTCACTGCAACCTCTGCCTCTCAGGAAGAGATTCTCTTGCCTCAGCCTCCCAAGTAGGTGGGATTACAGTTGTGCACCACCACACCCAGCTAATTTTGTATCTTTAGTAGAGATGGGGTTGCACCATGTTAGCCAGGCTGGTCTCAAACTCCTGACCTCAGGTGATCCGCCCACCTCTTCCTCCCAAAGTGCTGGGATTACAGGCACGAGCCACCATATCCAGCCCATTTATTTTTTTTTAAAAAGGAGTTATAAAAGGGGACCAATATCATTTCTAGCTTTCTGCAAATAAAGGCATTTAAAATTAACTCTACCTCTACCACTATCATCTACTATCACTTCAAAAAGATAGAACATGTTAATGTAAAACAGAACACTCACGACTGTCAGAACACTCACAACCCACAATAAAAGACAGTCCTTTCCAGGATAATATAAACAGGCAATCTTTTGCACACCTCCTATTATGCTGTTCTTATTATATTTGCCAGTGGCCCAAGAAATCTTACAGGTGGACCCTAGGGCACATGTTCAAAGATCAATGCAGGGGAGTTAATGCTCCAGCTCTGGACGAGGCATCTGAAAAATATATTTTCTTCTCAAAGTCATCACTGGCACAAATCAACAGCCCTGTACAAAGCTGTTTCTCAACCTCCAATTTGAGACCTATGCTTCCTAACTATTCAAAATGCTCTCACATCAGTTAGAATATCTTCCCCCCTAGCATATCCCTGGGAAGGGATAAAGTCAAGTATTACTGAACCTTTATAAATAGAGAAACAGAAAGAGATCCTGTGTCCCTCTAGAGGCACTGGACTGCAATCATCTGGCAACACTATCATTTTCAGACTCTCTGGAGATAGCAAAGGTTTTCTGAAGGAATGACCTTAAAGGCAGCTGTCCTTTACTGAGCATCTATGACATTACTGGCACTACTTGTCTCGTTCAAGCCTCAGCACTACCAAATGAAGATGTTGTATATGGTGAGTCCAATGGGCTGCTGAAAATTTAAAAACCTGCACCCACCATGGTCAGTGCCAAGCTACCCAAGTGGCATGCCTGAATGCAGACTTGGAAAGAGAGACACAATAACACCCCCATTGTATGGTATTTTCTACCACCCAGACACAACATATGTAACAACCTCAAAAACTAAGATAATGGCAAAGCATAATAAGAAATTAGGAAATTATGAGTTTTTAATATAATTATTTAATTGTGAGTTTGTATATTTAATTTGTAACATTAGTTATTAGAACAGGTTTCTAATCAATTTGGAGTCAGTATGCTGGGTTTTTTCCAGCTTTTATGGGTCACTATAATCCAGTACCAACACAGCATTGGTGGATCCCATGAGATTTCAACCTCTACAAAGAAAAAATCTGCTTGGTCCTCAACATTACTTCCAAGATTGCTGGAGTTCACTGGACCAATAAAATCTAATAGACAAGAAAACAGAAAGTAAGTCACTTGTCAGAGTTTCTCTGTAGTAAGTGGGAGATGAAATAGATTCTGATACCAGGTGTCATCAAAATAATCTTTTTAAAAGCCAGGAATACAATTCTTAATAATTCCATACTATAACTACTCCCAGTTCTGGAATAAAAATTGTAACTTGAGGAGAAAGGTTAAGCTTGTATAAAACAAGAAAAAATAATGAATAAATAATTAAGCAACACAGTGAAAATAAAAACCATAGAGTAAAGGTATGTTCTGCTGTAATTTCTGCCAAACATGAAAACATTGTCAACGGTGAACATGCAATAAAAAAGCTAAACCTCTAACAATAGTTATGCAAAAATGGAAACAGAGTGCTCTTTGCTACAACTATACCAATTATATTACAATATAAACCAGCTCAAAATCCAGATAGGGCCCTTACCCTCTGTGTCACTCCTTTAAAAATAAAATAAAATCTCCAATTACCAAAGAATTATAATTTTCTTAGTTACAATATTTTTCAATCCTGACTTCACAGATTCTGAGGATTACCCTGATTCCTAAGGTGTCGGGTAAAGAAAATTGTAATCTATACCCAGACCACATGGACCATCTGAAAATTCCATCTCAGACACTTCATCTTTCTCTGAGATTTGGGATTATTATAATACTCACTCTGGCAGAGGACGAGTTGCCCAAAGAAAGTTTGTGCTCCTTTTTCATAGTATAGAGTTGTTGGTAGGAGCCCCACAACCACTACCTACATAGGGCCATGGGACTTATTTGTGGCCAGTGGGATGTGTTTAGAAATGAGCAATTCAACCAACTTCCATAAAAACTTCCTAACTAGTCCTCAACTCTTCCTCTTTTCCTATCTACTGGCTAGAAGTGAAGGACTTCAATACCGAAGAAGATGGTGTAGCCTCAAGATAAAAAAAAGCCCGCACTTCTGAAACATCATTTGAAAGGCTGCTGAAGACCTACATTGCATGGTTATATGAAATAAAAATAAATTTCTATTAAGTTAAGCCTAGGAGCTTTCAGGGTTTATCTACAGAAATCCCAGCTCTCTCTGCTTTAAGAACTACAATGGCTGCAAGGCAAAATAATACCTTATTAGTCCTGTATTATTTGTTGCTTTTGAATCTCCAAAGTGATTTTAATGTGTGATTGCTTGCCAAGTTTTCTAAACAGACAGTAGGATAAATTGGTTGCTGGAGGCTCCAACTGCCCCTAACCATCTGAGAGATGCACCCACTATGCACTAATCCTAAACAACTAATGAATTTCCCCAGGAGCATTTGATGTCCTCTCACATAGGTATGAATGAGTATAAGATTTAACTTACTGTGATAGTTTTTCATGACAGTATTATTACATCATGAAGTGCAATGGTACTTAAACTTTTCTGAGTCAGAGATCTCTGTAAAAATCAAATGCAAGGAGTGGATTCTTTTGGAAATGGACACAAAAGCACATACAAGCAAAATTGTGTGCACCATGTCAGCTGGTTCACAGAGCCTAGATCAGCACCCCAGAAATTTACCTTTGAACCAGACTTTGAACTAAGAACAACTTATTGAGAGGCATGAGCACCATACTAGAAGCCAAAAGTCAGGAGCCTGCAGTCCAGCCTGAGACCTTGGGTATGCCACTTCCCCTCTCTGATTGCAGAATCAGGAGCTTTGTGAATAGATTTCTTTTTTTTTTTTTTTTTTTTTTGAGACGGAGTTTCGCTCTTGTTACTCAGGCTGGAGTGCAATGGTGCAATCTCGGCTCACTGCAACCTCCGTCTCCTGGATTCAGGCAATTCTCCTGCCTCAGCCTCCTGAGTAGCTGGGATTACAGGCATGCGCCACCATGCCCAGCTAATTTTTTGTATTTTTAGTAGAGATGGGGTTTCACCATGTTGACCAGGATGGTCTCGATCTCTTGACCTCGTGATCCACCCGCCTCGGCCTCCCAAAGTGCTGGGATTACAGGCTTGAGCCACCATGCCCGGCCTTATGAATAGATTTAATGTTCTTCCAATTCTAAGAATATCTAGATTTTTAATAGACAGTTGATTCTGAAATGAGGACCTCTGGCTGGTATTTCTAGACCCACCCATTCTCACTTTTAAAAACAACAGAAAAAAATAAGAGAAGGAAATTGGCAGCATCACAAAATTTAATATCTCACTATGATATCAACCCCACATTTTATATTTTCCTGTAATTTTGTGAGAAGGTTGGCTTTAGCTAGTGCAAAATTGCTAGCTCTTTCAGCTGATTAACATGGAAATATATGAAGAACCTAGAATTTTGAGCATGAAATCTCAAGTGGTTCATCAAAATAATACTTCTTGGCATTAATGAAAATCTAGAGTCTAGTGAGTTAATCTGGATGGACACTAGCTTCCCAGATGAACCTGGCAGAATAAAGTTCACACACACCACATACTTTCTTCAATAGACCCAATAATAATA